AGTGCTCGGACAGTGCTCTGACAGTGCTCAAAACAGTGCTCGGAAGTCAAAAACATGGAAAATACCAGCGATTCGGGCAGTAGCAATGCAAAACGATAGAAATTTAGAATTCTAGGCGTTTTATTGATTCATTTACCACTCCTGTGGCCATACCCACAGTATTTACAGTGCTTTGGTGCGCGAGTACTGTCTGGAGCACTGTTGGAGCACTGTCCGGGCACTGTGGAGCACTGTGTTGCCATGTAGTCCTCCACAAGTTTGTTGGCCCGCCGCTGTTTGCTTGGCGCAACCCTGTGTCGGGTACTGTTGATGGACAAAATCCTGCACCACCTCACCACTTTACCCTGGAAGGGTCGCATAGCAACCCCCGTGCCCCCTCATTCAATGTTGGCGAGACCCCTCTGAGGAGGTGGTGCAGGATTTTGGATCTTCAACTTGTTTTTGTTTTCTCACTGTGGTGGCCACAATGTTAACGAGGGAGAACGAGGGCAGCAAGAAAAGTGTGCGCAAAGTGGTGCAGGATTTTGTCCATCAACAGTATCACAAAAATACAGGGCGCAGCGTTACAGGTTGAACATCCTACAAACATCAACAATTCCTTACTACATATAACATATGACTTGCTAGAAAGGGTTATGCTACTGTGACACCAAACACTGATGTAAACACCAGACATCTGCACGTGATGTAGGATTGGTCAAAAGGCCTACATGGTCTACTCAGTACTCTTAACCTAAGCTGACCTCTCCCCCCTCAGCCATTAAAAAAATGGTTGACCTGGTGTTTGTAATGTAAAATCCTTACTGTAGTTGATTCGGTAAAGCCTATTATATCCTATTATATTAATGGTGGTTGGAAGCCTAGGGTACACATACAGTACCAAAATACCTTCCAAGCTGATCTCCCGGACTAGGGCGAATGAAATCGACTGACCAGTCGACGACACTGTCTACCCAGCCGCTGGGCCACAAATACGTAGGCGGCCACTCATGTATGCGCCACGGGGAGACTCTCCCCCGCCAATGGTCAACCACACCAAACACCACGGGTTTCATATAGGGGGTCTCACACCCGTTTTCGCTGACGCCGTCTTCTCCGCCCCGTGAAGTGAAATGAGTTCGCGCCTGATGCTCCGGTCATCTGGTACCTAGACCGACCGCGACCGGACACGGGACGTGCCCATGAGGTCCGCGAGCGGGAGGGCATCGAGGCAGGCAGGTACAAAGAAACCCCTCCTTTTGGTTCACCCCTTCACCCAGCAAAAGAAACAACATGAAACAACTTCAATTCGCAATACAAGGGTGAATTGATGTGAATTCTGATGTTTTGCAGTTTTGCTTGGCTGAAAGCGATGGAATCCAACCCAATCCAACCCAGTTCTTGGGTCTTCGATGCTTAGTCATGCCTGAGCCATGCCGCGACTTCCTCCAAACATCTCCAAGCAGCATGCACATGAATGATGATTGATACCTGTTCAAACGCTCAAATTACATCTGTTGGTTGGATTTGAGAGATCTGCACTTGGATCAATGGTGGAGCCTGACACAAAACATGGACTTTAGTTGCTTCGTCCCAGTAGCACAACGGTAAATGCCGACCATCTCAATGTCGGAGCGCCACACCACCAGGCGGTCAATACACCAGGTGCCCGGACCCAACCACTCCATGCATGGAATCGGCTACATTGGACCCCCCCAAACCAACCAAACCAACGACAAATATGGCAGTCCCAAACAGGTCGTGTCTGCGGGGATCTTCAGCAGAATCACCAACTTGTCAAAACAGCGAACGTGTCCCGAACAGCGAAGGGGTCGAACAATTGCCGTGCCAAAAACGATCCATGAGACTGCAGCTCCAAAAAAACCTTCCAATCAGAGTTGCTAGATGTGGGTGCAGCACCAAAAACCGAACCTGGCGCTGAGATGCGCTGAGGGTCACTTGGCCGACTTGATCCGTGCAACCGACTCGATCCGGCGACTCGAGGCACTGGCGCGATGGGGGTCACTTGATGAAGGAACCCACGACCACGTAGACGATGGCAAAGATGATCACCACTGGGTCGATGAGCGGTTGTGAGCAGTGAAAGAAGAAACATGGAAACCAACACTTGGTGTGGACCAACTACTGAAACCCAAAACGTCCCCCAACTAACGAAGTTGCCACCATGCCCTTTTTCAAAACTGAAATGAGTTCCAGCAGTCCAGAAAGTGTTTGAAGGAACTTCTTCATCCCATGTCAATGTCACCAGCTGCTCAGCTTTGTTTTCAGTCAGCGTCATAGTTCGACAGGGCTTCTTCCACGGCCTGCTGTCTCCGGTCCGACGGGCGTGCGCGAGCCAGCGATGGCAGCATCCTTCTCGCCCGAGCGGAACCCACTGCGTCGTCGTCGCCCGAGCGGAACCGCCGGTTCGCCTCCACTATGGAACTTCGTCCCTTGACCAAAGGCAATACAAAAATCCCTGCGGATTGGCTGACCCAATGATTGGAATCTACAACTCCAGAACACATCACCAAAATGGAAAAGAGTGGAACGAAAAGAGCACAACATATGTTGTGAAAGTATGTTGACGCCAGCTACACCATGACTTATGAAGCTTGGTATACATATCTATACATATAATATACATGTTTCTACATGCTTCAGATTCTCTCAGTATGAAAGCTACGTTTAGCATCGTGCATGGGATCGCTCGTGAGTTGAAATGCAGCAAAAAATGCCCGTGTATACTTTCCCTAGCGATCCATGTGACTTGTCAGAAGGTATTTGGTCCAAACCTACATAAAAGTGTCTATCGTGGAGAGGAACAAATTGCCCAATTCTCGAGGATCTAACTGTCTTTTTGTGTGCTTGCTGCGTGTACCAGGTCTCCATCCGCGACAGATCTTGGCCGGGAACGACGACCCTCTTCTTCTGCGCGACGGAGAAACGGCCCCAAGGAGCGACTATCAAAATTCCAACCCAGTACTCGATCGCCGCAGAAGCAAACAGCCCAACCAGCTGGAACGAAGAACGGACAGAACAACTTGGCCTCAACATGCCTCAACCAGCTTGTAGTCTTCGTGACTCTCAAGCTCGTCAGTCGTCCCAGCGCGGCTCCTCCCTTAACATCGGACGGTCTTCGATACTGGTCGGCCATCGGCTCTGGTGGGATTTAGTTCGCAGTTCGTCCCAAACACGACACCTGGGATCTGCCAGGACGGAGTGCCTTCAAAACGGCCAGGGGTGGTGGTGCCAGGGGGGGCTCTTTCTGGGGCGGCATATCTTCCTATGGACTTTGTGGGGCACATATTCCAGAGTCCCATGGAGGGTCCAAGTAATGGTACCCGGCCTTTGACTCCTGGAGCTGAAGCAACAGCCCGGCGATCTCCCCCGGCCTCGCAACAGGCCCTGAGCGCTGCCGAAGTTCGTGAGATGTTCAGCCTGGCGGTCTACGCGCTGAAATCTCCGGTGGTCGGACGGTAGACAGGCGTCAGCAGCGAAGAGGGCAGGTGACGGGGAAGGTCATCGGAAGACTTACTGTATGGACTATGTATGTCTCTTTGTGAGTAAATCCCGGAAGCTTTAGGTCAAAGAGAGGTTGAGGAGTCCAGTAGGTTTCAGAATTGTTCAATTTTCGTTGTAATGACCAGCACGCTCACTGCCAGGTCACCACCTGTGACTTTTAAGTCTGCAAAAGCCATCAAAGGAGACCTGTTGGAGGGTCCTGGCATATTTAGGAACATTTTCTGGGCCACGATCGAATTGGCGACGAACCCCTGCACACGTGCACCGAACCCCTGTGGCGGTGTCGGTCTGACATGGGCGTCTCGTTCGATGAACTAAATCGTCTGCGGGATGTGAACGACCTTGCAAAAGGACCTGAAGAAGTCTACTGAAGCCAAGCAGGAACTTTTCCCTGGTCCTGTGAACGACTCTTGATCTCTACTCCTACCAACATGTGCGGACCCCACTCAACACCCACAGCCAGGAAGCTTGAGGAAACCAGACCTCGCACAAATCAGCAGTCTGAAACCAAAACACAGTTTTTAGCGCGCAAAAATATCTCAACCAATTTATCCAAATCCAGAACACGCATTCTAAATCATTCTAAATCGTATCAACTAAAACATTTTATCTCAGAGTACCATCCGAAGCTGTCATTATCCAAGCGTGGCTAGAGTCGCCATGTAGACATCTCGCTTGATTTCACCTTGGCAGTGCACAACTGTGCCGATTTGAAGAAACATGAGAGTCTCAAACATGTGATGTTTGTTTTGTGATGGCTTTAAAAACATTCTTGGTGAGTTTGGCATTGCTGGAGGCTGGAGGAATGTCCTTTTCAAGCACAATTCCTCATGCCAAGGGGACGAAAACCCAGGAGCCAGGAAAACTCTTTCCCAGATACAGAAACGGATCCAGCCGTCCAATGGTCCGCGTCTGGGAGGTTCCACGTCCGGAAACCACCACCCAATCTCCTTAAGACCTGGAAGTGTATCAAATTAGGCAAACCACCCATTTCGAACCAGTGGAACAACCACATAAACCAAACCCAAAGGTGCAATGGTGGATGAAATGTCCATCGTCGAATCTTGGATTTGCTGGTTTCAAAACACAAAACATCCCCAATTCCAAACGAATGAACATGTTGGATTCACATCCATCATTCAGGGAAAAATGGGGTCCTTGGTTTCGAACAATTGTAACCAATGTACTGTAAAAGAGAAGTCTCATCAAAAAAAACAATGAACAAAAAAATGGCCAACAAAACTCACATGTCTGTTTCCTTCAAAGAATGCCTGGTGGTGATTGGTGGTGATGGTGGTGGGTTGGCAAGCTGGGAAAGGTCCACAAAAAACTGCCCCTGACACGAAATCTGCACTTCAAGGTCCACAAGATTCTGCACCTGCCACGAAATGTGCACTTCAAGGCCCACAAAGCACTGCACCTGCCACAAGATCTGCACTGCAAGGTCCACAAAATTAAGGTACACAAAGTACTGCACCTGGCACGAAACTTGCACTTCAAAGTCCACAAAGTACTGCACCTGCTACAATTTCTGAAAACGAACCACATGTCCAAAAGTCAGTAGTGACTGCACATGCCACGAAACCAGAGCATGCCGAAGACCACTACCATGTCCAAAGTACCGCGCCTGCCACAGAATCTGCACATTTATCTCCATCAACATTCTAGGAGGGGCTGTGTCAGTCATTTTGTAGATATAATTTGGCGGGCACCACCTAAACACAATATATATCAATATATAAAGAATGAAGAGGTGCCGGGAAATACACTCTATAAATTGAGTGTGACTCTGATAACACATGCTAACAACCAAAATAAGCATGCTCAAAATGATCCTCTAGACTCTATAACATGATTTTCTGAGGATCCATATGTTTTGGGCCAGGAAGTTAAAAAAAAACAACAACAATTTATAGAGGAGATGTCCTGTGATCCATACATGTAGATTCAAAAAATGGAAAGCAGTTTATAGAGGGATTTTCATTAGTAGTTTAAACAGAAAAACCTGTTATAGAGGACCATTCCAGTCTCAACAAAATTGTGGAAGAACAAGGCACGCAATTTTGTACAGAGAGGATGGGGAAATACGAAGGTTGTAGACAATGACTATGAATGTGCTTCACCTGTTTTTGTTCACTTGTTCACTGCGAAATCAGATGCACAGCCATTTTGTAATATATGTTTAGGAAAAGAGATCAATCAATGTCAATCAATTTGTTTTTTACCTCTCTGGAAAAAGTGTGTGTGTGTGTCAATACCTGTTTCCAAGGTTCGTGTCTGGTAAGTAGGCCTGCCGCAGGTTTTACTAGAAGGCTGGATGCTACTAGTAGCTCCTGGCCTTGCTACGGGAACAAGAGGCCGCTAGAACCAAAGGCATCGCCACTAGTTGAGAACGAAGAGGCACGGATGCGGAAAGAAGAAGCAGGGGGACACGGCACCACATTCCAGACCGTGTCTAACAAAGCTATGCAATCTGGTGGGATATCCAGTCTGGCCAGCTGGACGTACCTGCAACCAATTTTAACTGCTTGCAGTTGAATCAAGTCAAGGTCTACAATGCAGCTGGTATTGTAGTCACCAAAGTGGGACTTCATTCCGAACCTAGCTCTTGCGAGCAACCATCTAAGTGTGTGTCGCCACAGTCCCACTGTGGGCTGTGGTGTGATCCCCGTCGAGGGGCGCTGCATGTGCATAGACCCAGTTCCTGGGGGACCCACCCTGAATGCTCCGTTTGCACTCCTGGACTTCTGTTGATACCCCTCGATCCGCGGTACTGCATGATACCACTGATACTACGCCGCAGGGCTCACTGAGATCACTTCCAGACAGGATTCTTGCGTGCGTCTAAGTATTCACATGTACATTTTCCACCGCCAGATGAAGATCAGGCACGTGTTTCGCTAGGTACCTTTTTCAGTTGCATGCGCTTGTCATGCTCTTGGGTTCTGTCTCTCTTACTGATGCCTTTCGTTTCTTGAGGCCTTTCTTTAGGTTCCAGGTGCCTTTCAGACAAGGGTGCGCCGGCCCCAAATCGGCTTTACTTGAATGTCAGTGATGGCAATGCCTTCGGGCCACCCCAACCAACCCTCCCCCCTACCTCCCTGCCCCTGGCCTCTGTTGCTATCCCACCCGCTATTTAGGGTAACAGAAGGAAATCGCACTCAACACACTTGTGTGTTTGTGCCTTTCCTGCTGTTTCTCCTGTCCGACTCCTAGCTACCCGGGCGGTTTAAGACTAAAGTCCCGCTCGCTAACTATCTTCATTTAACTACATGGGCCTAGTCACTATACCTATCTTTCTTTCTTGCCCTCTTCATGTGCCTTTTTGTTTTTGTTTTCTTTGTATGTCTTTCTAAGGCTCTTTAGGTGACCAGAAAATTTCCGGAGCGCCGATATCGGCGTCGTGTGTACAAAGCTGTTGCGCAAAATCGTTTAACGCAAGGGGTACAGAGCGCTGATTGCGGCATAGTGTGTGCGTCAACACCTGTTTCCAAAGTTCGTGTTTGGTAAGTGTGCCTGCCGCAGGTTTTACTAGAAGGCTGGATGCTACTAGTAGCTCCTGGCCTTGCTACTAGGAACAAGAGGCCACTAGAACCAAAGGCATCGCCACTAATTGAGAACGAAGAGGCAGGAATGCGGAAAATAGAAGCAGGGGGACACGCCACCAGATTGCAGACCGTGTCTAACAAAGCTATGCAATCTGGTGGGATATCCAGCTTGGCCAGCTGGACGTACCTGCAACCAATTTTAACTGCCTCGTCAAATTTCACCCATGTTGAAACATTCCGTTCTGACCCAGCACTTCTTGCAGTTGAATCAAGTCAAGGTCTACAATGCAGCTGGTATTGTAATCGCTAAAGTGCGACTTCCTTCCGAACCTAGCTCTTGCGAGCAACCATCTAAGTGTGTCTTGTGTGTTCTTGTGGCTTTATAGTGACGCAGTCTTTGGATGCTAGATTGGTTTGGGACTGGATTTTGGGTCTTATTTCGTTCGCTACTTTTTCGGCATCTTTCTCTATAAAATGTTTGTCTTGCTGATGACTCCGTTGTCGTGCGCAGACTTTATTTCTTTAAATGATTTCTTCTTTTTATTCTCGCAAATTGTCTCTATAAAATGTTTTCTCGCCGCTGGCTGCCATAATGAAATGCCACACATATTTGTGCACTATAAAAAAGGGGTACCTGACATACGAGTTTGTTATTTGTAAATAAGGGGTACCTGACATACGAGTTTGTTATTTGTAAATTGAAACCCCTTGATTTTCTATAAATTAAAGCTCTTCATCTTTTTCCAAGAATGTTTCTCTACAAAAAACACATTTTATACGGGCCTCAAGGCCGCCCATTTCATAGAGGAAATGTCAACGGGGATGCACATTGACATCAAACTGCCCTGATCTCCTGCACTGTCGACTTTAGACCACCAAAACGAGGTTTCCCTTAAGCGCGCCTGCAACGAAAAGTGATCACCAAGTGCAAAAACGCACACGCCACCACAACGAGAGCCTGCGCAAAGAAATTGCACTCGGAAACCTCAGAACGGAACTTTTCTGCGAGCCTGCGCAGCCAAAACGCCGAGCCCCGAGAGCGTACCCTGATCGACCCGGGCTTTTGCACCTAAGACCGTAAGTTTTCTTCAACTCAATCTTGGGAAGCGTATTATGTTACGACGAACCAAAAGTCATGTAACCACTCGTTGGACGTCTTGTGTAAACTGCTGCTCAAGGAATTTCAATTCCCAAACCCCAGGCTTAAGGGGAGAACGATGCCAGAATCAAAGAGTCATCTGGTTCAGCTGATCCATGATGCTGGCTACGTTTTCCACACTTTCGGGGCGTCCTCGAGGGACGAAGGACTGAGCCAACCATCTTGGCATTGGCACCAACGCCGCCCCGCTGCTCGGCCTCCTTGAAGGCTCGAAAGTTGCGCGGTTTTTTCATACAGTTTAAGAAAGGATTTTATACAAAACTTTCGGGGCTTTATGATTAGGTGGAAGGTGCAAAGGTTGCATCAAAAAGTGAGAGACTTTCTATCTGTCTCGCCCAGGCTCCAGTATGGAATTCCGCGTTTGCAGTTTGGTCCCTGCTTTTCTGGGGAAACTGGCCCAAAGGCCTGTACAGCACCAAGTGAGATGCACACGGTTGCAAGAATCACCCGTGGCTACCAAACAAATCACATCAGGATCATCAGAGCGGTGCGTGTGGCGCAGTGATACTGGACGCAGCGTTCAAATGAATTTTGCGCCAAGCAATTATCCAATGAGAAGCCGTGGGCAAAGATGAGGGAGTAGAGTTTTTTAGATGTTCGATCTGTGGCAGGTGGAGGGGAGCGCCCTCTTCAACACAGCAATATACCTCAGACCGTTGGCGCCTTCTCCTCGTCGAGACCTGTCATCCGTGGTGCTCCCGAGCATACCTGCAGTCGCCCTGTAGAGGCGCTTCTCAAAAACTTTAAATAACTGGACCAGAGAATTCACATATTCTGCCCTCCTGATACAGTGCGATGATGGGCCAAAGGCGATATCCAATACCATGAACCACTTCTGACAGATGCGATGCCATCAGTCAATTGGAAGAGTAGGGCCCTAAGGGCGATGAGGTTCTTTCAAAATCAAGTCCAAACCATGCATGATCACTTGAGAAGGCAACTTCTGCTTTGCTTTCACTCCCTCTCCCATCAGCCATGGATTGTCCCACAAGCACAATCCAACATGGTCGGTTATTAGGCATTAGGTTCCTGAGAAAACATGCCACTGGACCTCCAACAAACGGTAGGCATTTTTGCCCATTGGCTGCTATCAGTTGCGCGGCCGAACCATCTGGCAAGTTGAATGCCTTACCCGCCTCGTCCTCCAATGTTGGTCCCGTGAGTTTTTGCGGGAGCCTCTCATCCAAATGTTTCATCTGGACCGGAAGGGGTACAGGTCGAGCCCCATACATACAGTCCAAATAGTCCTCCTTTGAGCCACCTTTGCGGAGTACGTCAGCCATGGACTGAATGCGGTCTCGATTGAATCCGGCAACAGTGGCTGCGGCCGTGGCTTCGCTGTGGCCATCAACTCCGGACGCGACACCGCTCATCCGGAGTAGGCCTACCCCGCCGAGTGCTAGAGGGATCTGTAGAGTCCGCTCCGATGACATGTCGACCAGCAGTGATCTGGTCCACTGGCTTGGGGCCCTCTAGGGTCTCACAGCCCGCCACCCTCAGAACACGCAGCCCAAAGGAACCATGCTCCCGGCTCCCCTGAAATTACCCACTCAGCACCATTGTCGCGCGTCTCCTGTCAACATGGAGCACCCTGCTCACGTCCCGGGTGCATCTCTCAGCGACAGCTCTACCGTGCTGGGGCGTGATCTTCTCAACCTCACTCAATCGCGGCCCAACAATTGCCTGGTCGCGCGAACCAACCCACGCTTTGATCACATTCATATGTCACTCACATTCATATGTTGGCTCAAATCATGAAGGTTGAAATAGTTGTCTTTCTATCAAGCCGGAAAAGCAGTCAAAAAGAAGTGGTCAGCAAGTCAAAAACTGATTTCCCCCAAACAAATCTTTTCACCCAAACAAATTCAAAGGTATATTTCACCAAACAAGTCTAAGTTCAAAAAACAAAAAAAGGAACTTAGACTCTGGGTCAGTTTCACTCATGTTGATTTGCTGGCTCGAAATCTCAGGAGGCTCAAGAAATGTGATCTATATCTATACTTGAGAGAGGAGGGGGTGAACGACAGGTAGCAGGCAATCACAAGCAACCCTGGTAAAAGTCCATGACGGCGTGAACCGGCGCAGAGGGGATTTGATCCAGGGGGGGGGCCCCCGCCCCCCGACGAACAGAATCAACTCTTACAAGACCAAATTCAATGCACAATCCCAACTCCTGATTGTAATACAAATTTGCTAAAGCAAGGAGAACTGAGGTAGCTCAAGCTACCTTTCGTGATAAATAAAAATTTTCCACAAAATTAAGAAAGGCAATTTCCCAAGAAATAGTCTAAGTTCCTTTTTTTTGGTGGGTCAATTTCACCCACGTTGACATGTTGGCTCAAATCTCATGAAGTTCAAGGAAATTGGTCCATCAATCATATACAGAGACGTGGTCAACAAAATGAACAATTCTATTTCAAAACAAGCAGCTTTTCTCATCACAAAAGTCTGAGCTCAAAAAAGGAACTCAGACTCTGGGTCCATGTCACTCATGTCGATATGTCTCTTCCATTTCGATCGATAGAATCGAAAGACGACTTTTGTATTTTCATGAAATTTGAACCAACATAGCAATATGAGTTAATTTGATAGCTTTTCCTATTCTATCGATAGATCAATCACTTTTCTTGAACCTCATGAGATTGCGATCCGACATTTGAGTGTCCGACAATGCTACATATAAACTGCAAAGGACACCAAAAAGTTGGGTGGCACGTGATCGGTTCTCAGGCCTTGGCATCTTTTTACATGAGTTTGGATGAAGTAGTAGTAGTAGTAGTAGTAGCAGTAGGAGTAGTAGTAGTAGTAGTAGTAGTAGAAGTACGAGTGGCAGAGGCAGTAGCAGTAGCAGCAGGAGTAGGAGTAGGAGTAGGACTAGGACTAGGACTAGGACTAGGACTAGTAGTAGTAGTAGTAGTAGTAGTAGTAGAAGTAGCAGTAGCAGTACCAGCAGTAGTAGTAGCAGCAGTGGTAGCAGTAGTAGCGGTGGTAGTAATGGCAGTAGCAGTCGTCGTCGTCCTCCTGGTGGTGGTGGTGGTAGTATCTGGTGGTAGTAGTAGTATCAATAGTAGTAGCAGCAGCAGGAGCAGGAGCAGTAGGTGCAGCAGTAGGAGAGCAGCAGTAGCAGGAGTAAGAGTAGCAGTAGCGGGAGCGGTAGGAGTAGTGGATTAGTATGAGTAGCAAAGGCAGCAGCAGAATCAGTAGCAGGGGTCGTACTAGTAACCACAACAACAACTACTACTACCACTACCACAACAACAAAAACAACAACAACAACAACAACAACAACAACAACAACAACAACAACCA